ACCTCATTCACATATTGTCAGTATATTGTGTTCTGAGTTAAATTTGAGAGGTGGTGGTTGCTTTTATTCATTCTCTACCATTATGATTGCTTAGGTAAAAACAGATAAATCTCTTGGATTTTCCTGTATAATATGAATGAAATGCTAGATATTAATTTTCTCTTTTGCGCCCATGCACACTTGTATAGAAAACTTTCTGTGTTTATGATTCATGATCAGACTGGGAGGTGATGAAATCTTGTTGGGAAATGCCCAACAAGAGCATGCTGGGCATTTAATCACACCAGAGGGAAACCTAGGTAGTAGTTTTAATTAATGCATATTCTGTTGTGATAATGCATAACCTGAGGAAAAAGTGAAGGCATTTCTTTCGAAGGGATACAAAATAATGCTCTGAAAAATGAGGAAAAATATCAAGGCTGAGACATTTTTTGTCAATAATGTACAATCTTTCTGGCCGTAGCAGATTAGCTTATTTCGGTATTTGGAAAGAGATGCATTTCATGGTCTCTCTCATGCCACAGCTTGTCTGCTATGGAGTGAGCATAATGCTTCTGGGTCACGTCAGAGTTACTCAGTGTAGACAGCTTGAGTTCACTGCCCAAGAAGATTATGGTAGTTCTGCTTGTATGTAATGGATTTACTTTCCAAGGAAGCTCCTACACCTGTGTAATTACAGCCAAGCATGGGGCTGGGGACCTAGAACAAGAGCAGGGCAGTATTCAGGTGCAGCCTGCTCATGCCTGTGGAACAGTTCCTGGGCCATGAGCCGGTTCCTGTCCACCCTCTCAGCTGTCCTGAGAAGGAAAGTCCCTGGGAGCTGGCAGGCTCCATGTGTTGAGTACCCCTCCTCCTTCTCCAGCTCCACCTCAGGAAGGACTTGTGATATCTTTTATTTGTTACTACCTGAACTTCATGACTGAAAGAACAGCGTGACTTATCTCCCATTTGATGGTTAAACACTTTATTTTACATTTCAAAGATTTAAATGTATCATACTTTATCTGGGGAATAAGAACATTGTAGTATAAGAAGCGTTCTGGACTATATCCAATGCTATGTTCTGACTACTCTGATGTGCTTTGAAGGAGAGCAGACACAGATTTGATTTTAATTTAGTCAGTAAGGCTGAACTTACAGTTCTTTTGCATTGCTAGGGCAGCATATACCTAGTAGAGCTTATCAGAAGTTGTTGGGTTTTATTTTTCTGATTCATACCTGAGGAGTAGAGGGGTTTTTTTTCCCAAAGGGACAAGAAAAGAGTTAAGCCTCCACTTTCTATTAAGTGGAAGGTTGATGCCTCATGTTCTTTTAAAAACACAAACAAAAAAGTCAACAGTTACAAAGGCGTTTGTGTCTGATTGTGCTTTTTTTACTGCAATCTTCCCTTACAAGTTTGTGAGAAGTCTTAAGCTGTTATAAGACTAATGTTAAGATTGGCAAAGAGGTGGTGGTGTTAGTTTCTTTTCTTAGAAAAGACTTCTGAGATTGCCATGTGTGATGGTTGTGGTGCTATAGCTAATCTCATTTGAAAGAAAAAACAACACAGAAGGACAGCAAGAAGAGTTAAAAAACGTATTACCACTTTTCTGATCAAAGAAAAGGGGAGTTAAGACTACATTGCAAAACATCCTTTTCACGGGCTATTTCAGGGGGGGATTACCATCACACAGGAAGGCGTGTGTAGAAGCGCCAAGAGATAAAGCCCCAAACTTCAGCTTTTTTTAGAACAATATTTTCTCACAGTATCTGGGTAGATGAGAAATCCTTTTGATTTTAAGCACAGGATAAAAATAAAACAGCTGTATTTGAAGTGACTTTCTGCATATGGTTGGATTTACTATCGTATCTTTTTGCTAAGATCAGCCATGGAAAGACAAAAGCAAGTCTGTCAGGTACCTAAAATTTTTTTAAGAGTCAGAAAGAAACAGTTGGGTATTTATAAAAAATAAACTGTCTCCTTCAGAATAGTGATCTGTAAACTGAGTGTGACAGGAAAAGAATGAAGGTTACAGACAATAATTGCACACATACAAAGGCACACCTGATGAAAAACATAGTTTACTAAGAATCAGGATTGCCTTTTTTCCTAAAGGCACTTCCTTAAAGGGAAAATTAGAAGCAGGAGAATTCACAAATGTCATTCATTGATTTGTGTTATAAGCTATTAACACATGTGCTCCAGTGATGGCATTGTCTGATGACATCTTATCTGCATAGGCAACTAGCATTTTTTTTACTACTAATAACTACAATAAAAAATCTTTACCATTTTTGTTTAAAAAGAAAAATATTATTACTTCATAATGAATGTCACACTTTCTATTTTTGAGCTGTGCTTTGCTGTCTTTAGGAGTTGAGTGACTTCCAATATTAATGTAGAGACAGCATTAATCCTTTGCAAATAGTGGAATCAGCATGTGATGGAAGTCACTTGCTCTGCAAATATGCAACTAGTATGATTTTAAGTGCCATATCAAGCCCCACAGCCTGAGCAGGTTAATGAGTACAGAATTCTTAAAGGCTGGAATGCTAAACCTACGTAGGAGAGATGGGATCCATCGAAAACAAAACATTATCAGGCCACTGGCACATAAAATTTCAAATCTTATAAGGAACTTGTTTTTATTTAAAAAGTGGACAGAAAATGAAAAATCATTGTCAATAAATACATAGAAAAAAGAAACAACTTTAACTGAATATGTGTACAACGACAGTCTCCATAGTAATTACTACCATTCTGGAAAGAGATGGAGTTGTGGACAGTTTTCAGCTCACTGCTCAGCAGGTAAGAAAAAGGCAAATCTGACGTTAGGAGCTATTAAGAAAAAATCTGAAGGCATTACTGCACTATTGTATCAGGCAATTTTGTATCCATATTTTGAATGTTGCATATTATTCTGGAAAAAAGGAGCTACTAAAAGGATATCTTTACAAAGACTGGGAGATCTAGGAGAGAGAAAGCGAAAGCATTCCAGGTTGACCAGAGATAGAGAGTTCCACTTCCACACAGGAAGAGCCTTGTATTGCTGGGCATGCTGAAAGTACTCAAAGAAACTCCACCTGAAGGCACCGTACCTGCCTTCTGCAACATGGTTCAGTGTGGGTCTCATAACACATCACCTAGGCTGTTACACCTACCACCTACCAGGATGGGTTATCTTGTGCTTTGTAGGCTAAGGACATGGAGGGGTATTAGATATGAGACATCGTGAGGATGAAGCCTTTAGCTAAAGAGTCCTGAAAGCGTTGCTGGCCAGAAACTTTTGTGGGTATTTGCCCACTTTCTCAGCCTGCCTCATAGCAGGTCTGAAGCATATTTTATTGACTACTTTGGGAGGCAATAGAGAAAACTGAATGGTCTCATCCAACATGGCAGTTTAGGTTTATAAAGGGACGAAAGAGAGGCTTGTAAATAGTTTTAAATAGAATTTCAAAGTCATATGACAAAAACAGACTACTGCGGCTATCCAAGACTACAGTGGAGACCCAATTTAATAGACTTAAATTCGTTTCTACTCAGAGAAGCAGATAAACACTCTGTCTCAGAATTTAAGTACACTTTTAAAATATAGTTTGGATTTTAAATGGTTTGATGATTGAGAGATGAAACTTTGCAAAAACCATGTTAATTTAGTCGAGTATTTTCTGAAATAGTCCCTTCTGTTTTACCTTTCTTTGTTGTAGCTGGCACCTGTATGTGTTGTAGCTCTTTAAACCACCTGCAGGTACCGAAGTTGGAGATGGGGGAAGTATGGGGCTTCTCCATCTGCCTGCCCCAGCTTTCCAGTAGCTATTTGGTTTTGCAGTGCTTCCCTTCTTTTTTTTTCTTTTTCTTTCTTTTTTTTCCCCCTTCTCCTCCTCACTGACACGTAAAACATCCTCAACAGGAGAGGGGTTTTGCATGAATTACATGAAACATTCTTCACTGAGAAGTTTGGAAAGTTTAGCTTCCTACACTTTTTTGTTATGTATGGTTTTGTGTTGTAGAGCCAAAAATACATCAGTCTTCTATAATTCAAATCTTTCTTGCTTTTCTAGGTAGATTTCAAGACATGGCTATTTTGCTTGTGTTAATTTCTGGCTGTGCTAATTGGTTTTTGCAGGTTTTTTTCCCCCTTAATTTATATGTACTGAACTGAATTTAATTAAACCTGTTTGACAGACAGCTTCTTCCTTTATTCCCATAATTCCTTTTTTCTTCATCCTGACACATCACAAAATGTCTGCTTTCATTTACCTTAGCATCAATTCACTGTAATTCCACCAGAGCTACTGGAGTTACTTTGAATTTACTGCTATATAAGCAAGAACAAAATTTGATTCCATGATTGACAATTACAGACATCTGAATGGAGGGAAAAACCACAAGCCTTTCCAAAACAGTGTTCAGTCTTTATTTTTAATGGATTTCATGTCACTAAGGAATGAGTCAAGTGATCATGCCGGTGACCGTGTGGTGGGAAAAGAAATCTAAAAGTGTGAATGTAAGCATTGGATATTACTAATGAGCAAGCTTGTAAATTAGCATATTCTGACATAATGGAAGCCTAGTACAAGTCAGATTCTTTGTTTTTAAAAAGTACACCACAAGAATTTTTTTTTCTTTCCCTGAAATAAGAGAGAGTAGGAACACCTTAAGAAGTTACTTAAGTGGTTACTCCTAGCCATGCTTCCCTCTGGTCAGTAATTACTATTTCATTTTCTGAAACAGTAAAGAGTACATTTTTCTTATCTATGAAATCATATCTTGCAATTAATTTCTTCTGAGTTGTGTGAAGATATTTAACAATTAAAACTTTACAGTGATTTTTATTTGCCCTTCAGGAGAGGGATTTTGTTTTCTTAACTGCAAAAGATTAAGCAAAACTAAGAAAAGGTATGTGTAATCTTTACATCTAGCCCTATTTCTACCAAAGTCTAAAATGTCCGTCGTTCATCTCCCAAGAGCTAAAGTGCCACTTCTCGATGTTTAATAGACTCTCACTTCTGTTCTGCAGAAAAATGGAAAGGGAGAGGAAGAACACATTTTGAGTCAGCGCGAAGACGGAGTAGAGCTGTCCTTTATCATATCTCTGGACATCTACAAAGAAGAGAGAAGAACAAATTAAAAATTAATAATGTAGGTGTAATTCTTCTCTTTTTCAAAAATGTACTCTTTGTACTGTCTTTTTTTTTTTTAAAAGTGCTGTAAAAGGTCAGTGGGTACCTGAGAAATGTCCTAATCATAATTTTACGGTAACAAAAGGAGTAAAGTGCAGTTCACTTAAGTGCAGTTCTGCCTACTATGGTATTCGTTACAGTTCATATAGCAAGACAGTGCATTTAGCCATACTGTAAACAGACAGTTATTTAACCCCAGGAAAGCCACATTATAAAATTTCTCAGAACTTAATTTTAGGTTCCAGTGTACCTTACCATCCCAATTATTTCATTTCAATAATTACTGTTTGCCAAAAAAAAAAAAAAAAAAAGAAACTCAAGGTATTACTCTAGCTGAAAATCTGTATGCTGTGTAAGCTCTAAAAGGTCACACTTCATTTAGGCAATTTTTCATGTGAACGTCTCCAGTTTTGTGCAGAGTAAATTTACCTTTTCATTTCCTAATTGAAGTAGTAATGTTTCTTTCTCTTCTGTGTAACTACAACTAATAAGTAAGTTCATAAACACCCTGTAAATGTCACAAAAAAACAAATAAAACAATAAACAAAACCAGAAATATAGCAACAGGAAGACTTCTAAAGAAATTTGCTCAGGAGAAAGAATAACTCTCCTGCTCCATGGAACTATGTTTCAGGAGAAAAGTTAATGCAGAGGAAAACTAGAGATGCATATGAAATCAGTATGCACATATAAGAATTTGCTGGAATAGTATCTGAGGGTCTGTTCCAACAGTGAGAGCCTGTAGTTAGAAGCAGGGGTAGCAAAAAGAAACAGTCTTTCTTAAATTCTCAGAACAGTATTTAGTTTCTTGTTTGTATATCATTAGCAGCAAAAAGCTAAAATCTTTGACAGAGCCACGAGAAGAAAATGGGGGTTTGGGGGGGGTTTGTTTTTGGGTTTGTTTTTTTTTTTTATGGTTAGGTGGAGGATGGAAGAAGACAATGGAAAAAGTAGCCAAAGGACATAGATCATTAATGCCTTGAAAAGATGATCTGCCACTGGGCATGTTCCTTTTATTGGTTACCAAAATTAAGCAGCAACTCAGAAACATCATCCTATGCATTATTACGTTAGCAATTAAAAGCACAAAAAACTTGGTATAGATTAAGGACATGAAAGTACAGAGCTGGTATATGCCTCATAGGGCATATAGTCACTTCCATTGAATGTAAATGTTAAATGTTAAAAAATGCTAAATGTTAAAAAAATGTTAAAAAGCTAAAAATGTTAAATGTTGAAAAAGTGTAAAAATAATAAAAAAAAAAATCTGCAAAATATGACGAGGTCTTCCAGTGATATTTTCATAGCACAGTAATATTTTTTTGACTTTTAAATAGTTTTTGATGACTTTCCTGTACTGTCAAAATCCTAGTGCAGATGATATTATACTGGTTTAAAACATTTGTTATCAGACTAATTTACTACTTTTAGTGCATAGATTTTTAGAGCTATGAATTGGAAGTCATAAAAGGAACATTTTCTTCTCCGTGATTAAAAATGGGCTGACCCTAACAACGGTGAGAATTCAGCCCCTAAGATTCATGGATGAAAACAAGAATGGAGGACATCAGTATTTCAAAAGAAACACACAAAGAGAAAGGCTGTGACAGGCAAGACAAATGTAATTAAATCTGCGGTCACGCAGTTGTCTTTTTATATTCATAGTGAATAACTTGAAGATCAGAAGTAATCTTAGCTTGCTAAATACCCAATATTGTTTTGTGAGGCTCTTCATTACTGGAACACCATTAACCAGGGGCACAATGACAGTGAGCAAGAATTTTGTTAGTGAATAATACAAGATAGTTCGTGTAGCACATGCTGCTTTTCAGGAGGGTAGGTGTTTTTGTTAAAACTCTGAAGGATGAAAGTTAAGAATTTATAAAACTGGTGCGTGAGACTAAAGTCTTTGTGGCAAAGAGTTTTGCCAGTTAAATGACAAAGACTTGAGACACAGGACAAAGCTAGGTATAGTCTAATGGTGAAGGTAGTAGGTTCTGGAGCTGTATTACGGTGGGTCTACAGTAGTATTTTGGTTCAGATCAGGAGTGCAACTTTAAAGAGAATAAAAAAGTTATTCCTACTAATTGTGTTTTGGTTCATAGCAGTCTTGAGCACACAAACTGGATTCCCTCAGATGAAACTAAACCAGGAGAGGTGCTCCAACTACTTAGAGCTGTTCAGTCCACAGGACCAGGCTAGAGTTAGTCTGAAACAACCTCCTCACAGCTCTAAAATATGTATAGGAACGATTTTTTGCCTTCAGTACCATCTATTCCTTTCTGTATGTTTATTCCTATTTGCAGTACTATGTCCTCATGTATACAAAGCTTTAGCCTATCTGTCCAGCAGAAAAACATTGCTCTTCAGTCAGAATTCACCCAACAGAGGAAGAAATAGTTTGCCAGATTCAGTCCCCTCCTCATTCTATTTAATCCCTTCCTTATTAATCCTCTTCCTGCCCCAATTCACAAAGGTTATTCCATCAACAGAACCATCTGTCTAAATAAGTGTCAGGACTACATTAGAAAAAAATTAACATTAGTTCTTGCCTGCATATGAGTATGTCATATTTCTTTATGCTTTTTAAAAAAACAAATGACTGCATCAGAAGAAATGTATCTGTATGATCTAATTATTGTTTTGTCTCATTTCGTATTTTTTCTTTCTTTTTCAGAACGTTTTTGTAGATAAACCAGCATTTCCAGAATACAAAGTTTCAGATGCAAAAAAATCCAAATTCATATTGTTGCATTTTAGCACTTTTAAAGCTGGCTGGGACTGGCTTATTTTACTGGCAACGTTTTATGTTGCTGTGACTGTACCTTACAATGTTTGCTTTATTGGCCATGATGAGCTGTCTACAACTCGAAGCACAACTGTCAGTGACATTGCAGTGGAAATTCTTTTTATCATTGGTAAGATATGTTTGGGGTTTGTTTGGGATCTCTTTTTTGACATTTGAGGTTTTCACAGAATGTATAATATAGAAGAGGAAATAATCATCACTTTCATGATTTTAAAGAAAATCAATTTTATACAAGAAAATGTATAGTTTGAGATTGTATCTGAACTTTAGATCTTTTTTTTTTCTTTTTCTTTTTCTTTTTTACTTTAAATTGATTCAGGTAGTCCTGCTGTAACTCAAAAGGGACCTTTGACCTTAAGAAAGGCTGAAAACCACTGTTTTACTCTGTGGATGCTTAGAACCTTCCCAATGTAGGGGTGTGCCCTGAAATTACTATAGTGTTGTTCATAATGTACTTTTTTTTTTTAATTACCTTTCACAAACACTTAGAGGACCCATGGACCATAAGTTGAAAATCACTAGATTTTCAAAACTAATGACAGACTAAAACTCATATTGCAATAATGCAAATGTACAATATCAGTATACTATACTGACAACTGGGATAGAATTTAAGAGGCAGAGGTCACAGCTTGTCGTCTGGTCTGTTCTCTAAACTTTTTATTTCAATGATCCATTTATACCGTTAAAGAATTAAAAAGAAGACAAGTTTTTATTGTTATAATACCATTCAGTGCTGTCACACTGACAAACCATAGCTCAGATTTGTTGATAATATGCAGGTGGAGAAGCTATTATTTTAAAGAAATAAGCAAAGTTGCATATGTCTTTCTTGAATATGAAAAGGCTTAGGATGGGTTCTAAGAGAGAAAGAAAATGAACAAAAGAATAAAATCATCCTCAGATTTGAAACTTCTTTTTCTACTTTCCTTTTCTCTATTTTTTCCCTGGAAAAAGGAAGCTTAACTCATACATTAAAAGCAATGTTATGATCTTTTCTAGGAGAACTAAAGAAGACTGAAACTTCTTAAGCACTAAGCAACAACTCAGAATGTCTTTAACAGAAGTTTTTCTTATGAAAATTTTGAAAAGTTTATTCCAATTCTCTGACAGCTTTACTGTAGACAGTAAGACTAAGAGGTGATGTGGCTGGTGGAAGAATCAGATGTCATGATGGATAAATATTTGTGTGTCCTCCTTTGGACATTGATTTGTCATTAGGTTTAAGGTCTAGTTTTCCCCTTTTATGCTCACTATTAGATCTTGGTGGACTCTTTCGTGTTAATGCAAGCAATCCACATTGAATGATACTCAAGCACTGCAGTAAGAAACCTACGTTCTGCAATGCAGGTCACGGAGGATCATCTTTTGTCTTGTGTAAAAAGAGCAAGGCTGTGACTCCCGTCAGTCATAAATGACTCCACATTCCATTTTAAGAAATATAAAATGAAATAATTCCACTTGATCTACCTGGATGTGTTTATAAAAACAATAGACTAAAGGTTAAGATATTTTGATAATGGTTGTATCCTTCACCCCACACTGGTGTAGATAACTGGTTTGTGTTATGAATGTGTTTATTAGAATCTGAGCACAAGAGAGTATAATCTGTATCTAACTGATTTATGTGCTGTAGTATTCATTTGAAGCAAGACAGATGGTGTACTGTTCAGTGCTACTTCTCTGTTTATATCCTTTGCTGGAAATACTTATATTAGAATTCTTATATCAGTAAGTCAAAAGCAATGGTATCTCTATGATCAATAGAGTAGCTGGGTAAGAAAAACAAAAGGAAAAAGATTTTCTGTAAATTTTACTTCATATTTTCTGGTTAGTCTTTTAGGTCTATAGTCCAGGAAATTAAACTATGGTTGTAACTAAATACATTCAAAGAAAGGTGTATAAAGTAATAGAAAAGAGTTCTTTGCATAGTTATGTTACTGGTAACCACAAACACTGTAGCATACCAATATTCCTCCCCCACAGATTCAATAACGGCTCCATTTTCCACAAAATAATTATTTCTAAAGTTATTATCTGTTTTTATATTTGTAGCTCTGGGGAAAGGCTTATGGAGTATTTTCAAGACATTCTCATAATGCATTTAAATATCTGTAGTGAATTTAAAGAAAACATTGTGTTTATAGTCACCTCTCAATGGTCCCTTGTCCAGTAAAATATTGAATGAATATGTCTCAGAACATGTGTAAGATTGACAGCATACATAAATTTAAGCATAAGTTTCAGGGCATTGTTGTATAATGGCTCTGACAAGCACATCTTTGATGGATGATCTATGTGCTTTGAGAAAAGTCAATGAGAAGCATTGAGTAAAATTCTTTTTATGATGCTGCTGCCTCAGAAAGTCAGTGGGGAGATCTGTCTAAGATGGGGCCTTCCGCTGTATTACAGCTCTGTAATCATGGATTGAGGTATTACAACTCTGTAATCATGGACTGGAGAAAAAGAGTCTATCTGCTTTGATTTTATTCGGATTTCTCAGAACATAGAATAATATTCTTTTTACGCACATAACTTGCATAAACTCTTATCTGGACTTAACAAGGTCTTCATTTTTAGCTGTGTTATCAAAGCAGCGGAGACATGACAATAAAAGGGAGAGATGTCTGCTCATCAGTTCAAGGAATATAATAGGGTAGAGGCTAAGGGTTTCCTTTAAGCAGAAGAGTTTGAATAATTCTAGTGGCTAAAAAAAAATCTTCTAGGCTTATCCAATTTGTGATTCAGCATATTCTTAAGCACGATAAAAATACATATGGAAGTGTTCTCCTGACTTGTGGTGCTTATAAGTAAGAGTGTGGATCTGAATTAAATTACTTATGAGAAAAGAGCATATGTAGCTAGAGGTTTAACTGCTTTAGCCTTTAAAGTTCTCTAAAACATAAACTGAAGATAAACAATAATAATAACCCATTTTATGATGTTTTTGGGGAAGAGGTTGGAGAGGGAACATAATTAAGGCTTCTCAAATTAAGTTAAAATTATTTTTCGCCTGACGTTTCCTGTATATGCTAGTGCTTTGATAACCTGTGTGATGTGATGTTTGAGTGTACTTTCAGACCTCTTGTCTTCTGTAATGTGTGCAAACTTTCTCTAACATTCTCCTGTAAACAAATCTTTTGCTTCCTCTATCCAATGATAATTTAAAACTAGTTTAGTTTTAGAATTTTTTGACTGTTGTATGTATCTTAAAATCATAAAGAAGTGGAGAGAAAAACTTTTTAACATTACTGAATTTAAGGAAAAACATACAAAAATTATCTTAGAGAATGTTTCATCTGGTGAGTGAGATTACCTGCTTTATTGCACTATTTACTTCAAAGTTTATGCTCCTCAGTTTGCATAGGTAGTAGCTGGGTCCTTCATTTGTAGATAGGTGTGTCTGGGCAGCTAACGTTTCAATATTTCTAAGAAGCATAATGAATCTTGGTTACTTTTCAATAATATTTGTAAAGTTTTTTCTCTTTTGGAGAGAAAAGCTGGGAGAGCAGTTCATTCCATTTTATTAGTAATAACCTCCCGATTGCATAACTTTTACTCTTCCATAGCTATCCAGTGTAGTGCTTTTCTTTCTGTGACTGTTTCATTCTATTTTTCAGATATTGTCTTTCTTTTTTTTTACATTTTTAAAACATTATTGAACACCTTAATTGAAGAAAGTAATGTTACAAAAAAAATTATCAAGACTTTATTGCTAAATGCTCAGACTCACTCACAGGACTATTTGAATAGGATATCTTCAACAGGAGTTGAAATCAATGTGGTGGTTCAGAGAAAATATATATAGGCTTTCAGGGTAATTGTAATACATTATTTACGGATAAGATCAAAGGTGTCTAAGTATTTTGTCTCGTAAGGTGGCCAGGAACAACTATAGAGAGAAGAGCTATAAAAAAAAGTGACCTTTAACTTTTAATTTCAGTTTTCTATTTGTGGATCATCCAGTTTCTAGTGGAAGATGGAGAACCCCAGATACTAATTACAGCTATAAAATTATACTCTTTATGAATATACTGGCAACAGTAATTTTAAGTGATTTTCCGCAACATACTCCTTTGCCTACCCGTGGAAAAAAAAACTATACCCATCCCTTCCTCCACTCTCCCCACATACATGCTCATCTGAAGATTTTATCTATGGCTTGCACTTTCAAGAGAGAAAATTAATCATGGTTGCTAAGATCGCTTCTCTTTGTATCTCTCTCTCTCTCTCTTGTTAAATACTGCTTAACAAAGTGTTTTATCAGCAATTTCAGTTTTTAAAAGCAATGTGTTTAGAAGCCCTAAAGCTGTGATTTGTGTTGCATGATACTGTAGATTAAAGAGACTTGTTGTCCCATTAGTGTCTATCACAAATGTAAATGACTCAAAATCTTTCCAAAACTGTCTTAAATCATATGAAGCCCTTGAGTCTCAGATGTTTAATATGTAAAGACTTAAAAATACCCAGCAGAAATTCATATCATCATTCATGACTTACATAGTCATTCAAGTGTGCATATTATTGTATTGAAAATAATATACGTTAAACAAAATTTGTTTGAATCAGATGAGATAGTATTAAATGCTATAGGTTTTATTAGGTTGCTTTTTGAATTAGAAGGTTTGTTTTCTTTTCCCTCTCATGTTCTTTTTCATTATTATAATGATTACCATTTCATATCTTCGCAAGTGCACAGAAGGTCATGTAAAACAATATCTGTGTCTAGGAAACCTCGCATCTAAGAGGACTTGTGCATTTTGAAAGGAAATGGCAGTGTTTTGAACCATATTTTAGAAAGTGTGCCTTCAGATCCTAATATGTTAAAATTCATGTAGACATCAAGGGAGTGGTTTGAATTTATCTCTGGGAATTTATCTCTGAGCCTCAAATGGTCTCATCTGTGAGATGAGATTGGTATGAACAAAACATGAAACCAGATAGAATGACATTGTTGATACACCTAATATTAGGAAGAAAAGGTAATAATAAATTTTTCATGGACTATGGATTATCTAGTAATATGAATAAACAGTACAAAGTGTTCATGTTGAAAAGCAGTAATACATTTCCTAAAGATTCTCACTCAAAACGTCAAACTGAAGTTGG